TGGATTAAATGCACTACTTGTCCAGACACCAAACATCTGTTTGAAGACACTGGAAATGTGTTACAGCCACCGAATGCCCATCTGGATACTTCAAAGATACAACAGCAGCAACATGTAAGAAGTGCAAAACTGGAAGTAATTGTCTGACTTGTGAATCTGACACAAAGTGTTTGTCTTGTATTGATGGATTCTATTTGGCAAATAAATAAACATGTTCCGCATGTAGTACGATTGCTGGATGTGGGAAATGCAAGTTAGCCACTGAGTGCACTGAATGTACAATTGACAATCTCCAACCAGACAAAACTTGCAAACCAAATTGCCCAGAAGCGTACTTTGCAAAGGACAAGGTGTGCACTGCATGTGTTGATGTTTGCAATACGTTCACCGAAGAAACTAAGTGCACTAATTGCAAAGACGATGCTCTGATTGTTGAAGACACCAAAAAGTGTGTGAAAGATACTGTCCAGATATGTATTTCAAAGATAATGCTGAGAAGATGTGCAAGAGATGCACTGATGGTTGCAAAGTGTGCAGCAATGCAACTGACTGTCAAGAGTGTGTTGCACCAAAGATGTTGGAGGAGGGAACTATGAAGTGTGTTGAGAAATGTCGAGATGGGTTTTTCAATGTCGACAACAAAAAGTGTGATGTGTGCATGGATAACTGCATGACGTGTGCAGCAAAAGAAAAGTGTGACAAGTACAAAGAAAACTATTTTATGTTAGATGGCAAATGTGTTGACATGTGTCCAGAAAAGTACTTTGAAAAAGAAGGAAAATGTGAGAAGTGCAATGACACATACAACACGTCACGCAAAGAAGGTGACACTGAATGCGAGGTTTGTATGAACAAAAGTGGGACATTGAAGGTGTTGGTTTGTCTTGATGATTGCCTTCTAAGTTACTTTTTGGTTGGTTTTAATTTAAATCTGTTTTTAACACTTGAGATGTGTTGTTTATTTAATTTTATTGTTGCAATGAATTGTATAAATATAATATGTTATTAATTAATTGTTATAGTTTAATTTATTAGTAATTAACTATCTAATTAATACTTATAAAAAATTATATATATATAGTATATTTTTATTTATTATAAATTATAAAATTGATATTACAAGTTGTAGTAAATTAAACTAATCAACAAAATTATAAATAAAAATGAAACCCATAATTATTAAAAATGGCAACAAGTATAAAGATAAAGAAATAATAAACAAGAATTAGACCGTACGACTAGGATCATTCTTAGAGTATGTCACTTTCTATCTAACAAATAGAATTCACAAAATAGGATGAAGACTTTCATCACTTCAGTGCCAAAGGGAGATACGCAGCAATGCACGATGAACTGCTTGTTGAGGGGTTGAGTGCGTGCACAACACTCTGAGATGAGAGGCACTGAAGTCTGTCTGACTATTTTTTGTGTATTTCAATTTTATATTATTATATATAATTAATATATTATCAAAGAATTAAATTGATAAAATAAGACACAATCAAATTGAACGACAATCAGATAAAAGCAAATTGTGAGCGTATTTCAATAAGTGTTGGATTCTTACCTTTTAGTTTCTTGTTCTTGAGATTTTGATAAGCCCACCGTTTTTGTTTCTTATCGTCTTGCTTGTTCAGTGTGATGTATGTGACTGTTTTGATTGCCTTTTTTTGTAAAGACGTGTTGTGTTTTGTTGCAACATTTTCAAACATCTCCAAGTAGATCACCATGCTTGTTGATGACTGTTTTGACATCAGTTCCTTTTTATACAACGTGACACGTCTACACAATCCATTTGTCAAGACTCAATATCAACTTTGAGTCTTGACAATTGGTAAAAATACATCAATACTTCATTTGAAAACAAAAGCCACATTTATAATATTTTCAACAAAAAAAATAAATGAAAAAGGCAGTGAATTGGTTACTGCACCATTTTGAGAATCTCTTCAAGTACTTCAGAACTTCCAGGCGCCTTTTTCACAACTTTTTAATTTTGGAAAACGACAAATGTGGGAAGTGATGCAATGGAGTATTCAGCAGCATAATCAGTTGCTGTGGTCGCATCAACTTTGAAATATTTGAGGTTTGTGTGTTTGTCAGCAAGTTTGTCCATCATTGGCGCACTTGCCTTGCACTTTGCACACTCAGGAGAGTAGGAGATGACAAGAACGTTCTTGTTGTTTTCGATTGTTTGTTTCACTTTTGCAACATTATTGTATATGTCACTGGCATGTCTTGATGTTCAGTTGTGTGATTTAGTTATTCAAATACACATCAATTGTTTCAGCACACAGTTACCAATGAATTTATATATAACAATTATTATTTTATCTATACTATTTCACAACCCTTAATAAACAAAATCAACTTCAAAATAAAACCAATATTAAGAATAAACC